GACTCAACTATGGCTACTAGTGCAGAGGTCTGTGCAATTTTCCACCTTACCCTGCCTGCTCTTCCTCAAGGACTACACTGGGAGCTAGGATACAGGGTGTGCAAGGGAAAGCATGAAAACAGCGTCCTTGTCCTCTTAGGCTGCAAGTGGAAAAGGAGACAGGGTAAAAAAGCTACCAGGAGTGGTGACAAGTGTTGTGCTATGTGGTCCACAGTGACGGGGACAGGGTAGCTGCCAAGTTTGGCTGCTGGGTCTTCTCAGGGGGATGTGGCCTGAAGTGTCTGGGCAAGAGGTTTTTAAGAGGCTGGGCAAAAGGTTTTTAAGAGGTCAGATATTTTAGTAAGGAGCACGCTGTCCTGCAAGGTGGATGTGCAGGAAGACAGCAGGAAATGTGCAGAAAGCCACAAGGACTCTGGGCTCCATGAGTGGCTGGTTATGCTTCATCTTCTGGGAGGGAGGCGTTGAGGCTCATGGGAGGCGTGCAGCAGGAGACAAACACGAGTCTGTGTCTTAGAAGGGTCACATCATCACCAATATCATCTGTGCTGTCTGTAGGAGGGACAGCCTCTTGGGTCAGCTGGCTGCCTAGGAGGACACCGTCATAGAGAGAAACCAGAGAATGAAAGGCAGACTGGGGTGTGTTTGTCTGTGCAAGACAGCTAGATGGCAGAAGGTAAGAAGGGGGTGGGGTGAGTTTGGCTAGCAATGTGGTTAGCTTGAAAAGCTCCCTGAGGTGCCTGTAAGCAGCAGGACAGGTGGGTCTACAGCTCAAGAGAGAGGCCTTGGGTGAAGCCATGAGAATTCCCCTCCCTTTTCTAATCCATTCAAACAGGTTTCCACAGTAGTGGTTTATAGCGAGAAAATATCAAGGGATCCTCCCAGGTTTTGCTCACCCTGCTCCCAGAGCCATCTAAGGCAGAGCCTAGACCAAGGCAGACTGGGGAGCAGGTGGGGGAGACCCTTCAAAGGTGGACCCAAGGGGAGTTTGTGGTTATTTTTCAGGTCCAGGAATCAGCAGGAGGACTAGAAGAAGAGGAAGTGATGGTGCTTCCTAGCTGACTTTGCTGCTTATATTTCCTTCCTTATATTTCTCTTGCTTTAATTTGAGGCAAAAATGAGCTAACTTCTGTGGCAGAAACCCTTGGTACACGGCACGTTTTTCGTTTCTTTCGCGTATACTCCCTCATGGCAGACCAAAATTCAGCATGACCAGTCCAACTGCAAAACTTACCTGTTTTATCATGGCTCAACAAGGGAGCAAGGAAATGGCTCATGATTACCTCTCAGATCAAGGCTGAAGCTTCAATCTGCATTTAAGGCTGCTTCTTCCTTGGGTCCACTAGCCCAGTAGTTGCTGAGCACTTCAAGTGTGACTGGTAGAAATGGACTTTAACTCAGTTCACTTTAATTCACATAACTGTTCACAGCCAACCTTCAGTGATTGTTATTCAACTAGCATAGGGCTAGCCAGGGGCTTGGTCTTTTTCTCTTCACTAGTGTAAGAGTGAATTTCTGGCCTCGTTAAGACTCTCATCCTGCTCTTGCTCCAGAGAGTTCTATAAGAACCCAGCAGCTACCCTCTTACTTTGCTACCCTTGCCCCTTTGTAACCTGCTCTGTAGTTCATGCCTGGTTCAGACCTCCTTCCCAAACATGAACCATGGGTGCAATGACCAGCTCACAGCAGAGCTTGTCACTATGATCATTTTCATTATAAGGATGAACACCACTACCAGTAACAGATCACCTACAAAAAAGTAGCTGTTCAAAGAAGTAACAAGGAAGATTGGTCAAAACCAAAACCCATCAGGCTGCTTCTCCACACTTGGATCCATGAGAGGCCTGGCTGGTGATCAGGGCTGAGAGTTATGATGGAACAGAAACTCTTCTTCCTGGTTGCTGGTCCACTGTGTCCCCAGCTATCACCCTCCCAAGTTCCGGGACTTAATTCTATCAATGCGGAGTTTGTACAGATCTCTCCACGTCCTCTACCTCGTAACAGATGGTCCTGGACTTGTAGCCATATCAGCTATGGTAGGATGATAGCAAGCACTGAAGAAACACCAACTGAATGTACAGTAAGTGGTTTTGCTTCGGAATATAAGCAATTAAGCAGATATGTTGCCTTCCGGTCTCAAGGTCAAGTCCTCATTTGGTCATAGCTGAGAATACCAGATCCTCATACCTCCTTCTGTCTTTGCCAGGCCATTCTTCAAGGCATAGATATCTTTAGGGGTGATGGTTTTTGATTTGGTTATTATTGTTTTTGCCAGGAAAAAACATGAAAATTTTCCCAGAACTAAGTAAAAAATAATACCCTAGACCCTGGGATCCTTGTTGATCAAATTCCCTTCAACCCTTAGTATCTTGCTCGTTTCTGCTAATCCCTGCCCTCCTTCATCCACACTTCTGGAGAACCTCCACTTCTCTTGCTTCCAACAGTGGGTTTGTGGGATTCTGGGAGTGGCCCTAAAATCCTGGGTCCTCATAGCCACTAAGTGGCACCTGTTTGATTTTTTCTTGTCATGTGTTGGTTCCATTTGGTGGCATCTTTCCAGGAGTTTTATGGAGGCTCCTCATTACACTGTTGCAGAAAAGAGACCTTCCTCCCATGTCTGGCATTGCTCCAGGTAGGTGATCAAAAGAGTCTCAGGATGGCCTCAGTGAGGCAGAGGAGAATGCCAATGGCCTGGCTCTTCCATCTTCCTCTTTTTTTTTTTTTTTTTTTTTTTTTGGAAACAGGTCCTCCCTGTAGCCCCAGCTGGTCTGGAACTCGTTATGTAGACCAGGCTGGCCTTAAACTCACAGAGATCCTCCTGCCTCTGCCTCCCAAGTGCTGGGACTACAGATGTGTGCCACCACACCTGGCTCTTCCATCTTCTTTAGAACTTTTGTGTATGAACCTCACTTTTATTTTTGTCCATGTCCACTCTCTTCCTAGATGAGAGTCTTTTCAAAATGCATACAGACTTAGAAAGATACAGAGTTACACAGGTCTTCAGTCCTTCAGGTCATCCCTCCTCACTGCTCCCGTCCAATGCCTCTTCCTGCTCCCCTGCCATTCTCCTCACCCTCTGGTTACCTTGAGTACATGGTCATCCCCAGCAGAAAACTTTGGAACTGGAAGATAGCCAAGGAGAAAGATTGGAAATAAAGTTCTTAGTTAGGGTGTCATGACATACTGATTTAAAGTGATGTCTTTGCAAGCCAAATGGACATCAGGATGGCATGTTATTTTTCACTACCATTGAATACATGTTCTCCTGTGATGATGTCTGTCCATCAGGAAGCTGACATTGCCGTCCCTCCAGTTCCCTGGTGGGAATTAAAGAATATAAGCCACAACTGAAGTGTCTTATAGGAAGACAGAGCCATTGTAGGGATGAGGGTCCAGTTAGGCAGAGCTCTGTTCAGACAACACTGTAGCACTGTGGGAGGGCATTAAACAGGTAGTTCTTGATACAGTTGGAGTCAGCGGAGAAACAACTACTACTCTGGATAAAGCTCTAGCGTTTGGAAGAATGCTGTGAACGTGAATAAAGGCTGTGAACCACAGGCCTAGAAGGAGGTAGAAAACAGGAATGTAAAGCACAGGGAGAAGTTGCAGGTTAGATACACTAAAGTTAGGAATGAGTGAGGACAGGAAGCTTAAAACTTGAACTAAGAGAGAGGTTGAAGAAGGTCTCAAAAAAAAAAAAACTCCATTCTTAAAGTTAGAAGTAATCACCTGTTGACAAAAATAAGTAACACTTATGCTTAAGTTTAACTAAAAATGTGCTAAGTGGTTTGTATGTGTTGTTTGTTTATTCTTCACAATTCTACATAGTAAGGACTATTATCAAAGGCTTGGAGGAGTTGCATAGTTCATCCATAATCAAAAACAGGGAGAGGAAGAACAGGTCTGTAGTCAGGGGAGATGAAGGAGATGAGAGTGGGGTTGTTAACCTAGTCATTTATGGGTATCAGGGGTCGACCCAAGCTGACTAAAGGGACCATGACACAGAGACTTCCTTCAACAGCCCATGGTAAAAGGAGTGCAGCCCATGGCAGGTGTGGAGCAGCGACACTGGGTATCAGCACAGCATAAACACAAGGCTCCAAAGAGCAACTGCTGATTTGAGGGTCACTGTTGAGTGGGCTGGAAAAGAAGGAAGGCAGGTGTTAGAAGGAAGGGCTGATGGAAACCAGGGTGGTGAACCGGTGATTGTGGAGGTACAGGAAGGTGACAGTTGTCCTGTGTGGGGGTCACCATGAAGGCATAGGTCATGACCAGATCAAATGACTGATCAAATGACGGGTAGAACTCTGTGGGAAGACAAAAGCATGTTACAACATGCAGTGGGTGGAGGAGTCTGGCTTCAAGTCTTACTTCTGTTAGTGGTGACCATCTGACTAGAAACGTAAGACAGAGGTACCATGGAAAGCCCTTACCCAGCAGAGTGATGTAAGCACAGTGGGCGAGGGATTGAAGGGCCCCTGGTAACATGTGGTCAGAAACTTCTGGAGGTACTGTCTCTGCAGGCTGGCTTGTGGTTGTGGTCTGCTGGACAGTGAGGTTCAAGCTACGTGCTGGCTCCTCAGAATGGTCATGGAAGAAAAACCAGGCAACTTCCGGTGCCTCTGCAGCTGCATGGGCTTACTCTGAACACAGCGGGGCATTATTTTGTCCTCTGTCAGATACTCCCACGCAGGAAAAGGAAGCACCTTGTGTTAGATGCTGTGGCCACTTCCTCTTAGAGGCTCCAGCCAACCTCCTGCTTTACAGAACGCAAGGCCGGAGGCAGCTGGACCGCAGGCGCCGGTCCGCTGGGCTCCTCTCTGGAGCAGGACCCCAGCTCCTCTCCCGGGCGTGGGGGATTCTTGTAGATCTGGATCTGGACCCTTGAGCCAGATCTGGCTGTGGCTGCAACAGGTTCTCAGCCCCCTTGAGGCCTCTTTCCTTGCTCTTGGCTCTGTGCTTTATGTCCCTCGGTCAGTCTGCCTTTCTGTTCCTTTCTACAGCTCGGTCAAGAAGCGTGATGACCGGGGAGCCGATGGCGGCCTTTCACCCACCATCCACCCCCAATCCTCTGGAAAGGCCCATCAAGATGGGCTGGCTGAAGAAGCAGCGGTCCATCGTGAAAAACTGGCAGAATCGATACTTCGTGCTGAGGGCTCAGCAGCTCTACTACTACAAGGACGAAGAGGACTCAAAGCCACAGGTACCCGCTGACTGTGTGCCCCCCATTAATGTGGATCTCTCCGGGTCCAGAGGAGGCAGGCAGTGCACACTAGTTGCTTATTCTCCTAGGGACCTCTTCAGTATATCTCCACTTTGGGGGTGCCCGGTGGCCTTTTCATTCTTTTCTCTGTATGTACTGTACAGTGAAGATGGCAGAGATGCCCCCATTAGCACGTTCACCTTCCTAAGGCACCCAAGTCTAGGCTCATACCATAGTGGTGACAGTCATATTGTGGTGGCTCAGGAAAACTGCTTTGGAGACTTTGCTCAATAAATGCACATTTTATTATATTATAAACAACAATTATATGTAATGCATGATGTATTCACACATAAATGTTCTAATACCAGACACTGTTGTAGGCACTTGAAATAAATCGGTGAGTAAATCATGGAAAATCCCTGCCATATGGCATAGAAAATAACCACAATAAACAAAAGAAGTATGTAATTTGTTAGAAGATGAGTTACATGACGAAAAAGGGTAGAGGGAAAGAAAAGAGTTTGGGGGAGGTATGGAGATCTTAGGATGGATGGAGGGTGGTATCTGAGCATCCCAGTGAGCCACTGAGGGGTCCTGAACAATGATGAGACAGTTCTTTAGCTTCAGCTGCAAACAGATGGTTCTGTGTCCTAAAACAAATGGGGGTCTGAACAGGCAGCACAGGTAAGTCTTAGATAAGCGCTTATGGTACTAGGCATGTCAGAAGGAGCCAGTGAGTGCCAGTGGTCAGATTCAGATTCTGCTACTTTGAGAGTAGAACAGGGTCCCCTGAGGAAAAGGATAAGGTTGTGAGAAGGCTTTAATCTTAAATCTCAGGGCTGGGGCACTCCTCCTTATTCCAGGGCTCACTGTGGGACATGAGAGTGAGACATGGCAACATTAGCCATGACTGTGGGACCCCATGTGTAAGCTGATGTCTCTAGCAACTAGGACAGCTATGCATCCACCTAGAGTTCATGCTTGTGATGATGGAGGGCGGGGAGCTTGACCAGAAGAACTTATTAGGAAGGACAGACTCCGAAACCTTACGGAGCTAGGAAGGTAGAGATAGGAAGCGTATGGATGTTGGGGGTTGATGAGCAAGTGGGTGGATGAGCAGGTGGGAGGAGCCAAGTGATGCAGTCATTTTGTAAGAGGACAGGCTTGAGGATCAGTAATATAGCCATAGGACTTGGTTAGCCAGTGGACCACCATTGGACCATGCTATCCACTTGAGGAGTGTTCTGAGCATCTGTCCCTGAAGAGGCCAGGGAAGGACCCTGAGACACCATCACAGACTAGGCTCTTGCTATCATCTATGTGTGGTAACTAGACTTCCTGTTTTTAATAAACAACTCAGACCTTATCACATCTAGCCACCCCAGGACAAGACCATGGTGGCTGGTACATCAAAATGATGTGAAAAGTCCTCCCACTTGCAGAGGAAGGGAGCAGCAGTCCCGCTTCCACCACCCCAAGTCCATGGAAAGGGCCACTGGGTAGAGGTTGTCTCCATAAGGCATAGAAGGTGATATTTTACATTGAATGTTGTGTTCTTTTCCTGGCTCCACCACTCCCTACTTTTTCTGGGTCCTCCTTTCTTCTTGCATATGAAACAATGAAACAATACTCCCTGGCCTGCACCAGTCACATGACTGGATAATGTGAGGTGCATGTGAAAAACTGCATTGTAAAATCAAGCTAACGAGAGCGTGGAATAGCCACGTGCAAGTCCCTGTTTCTTCTCCTTGCTCTGAGGAAATCCAGGGCTTCTCACACTTAACTTGGCCTGGGATAAGTAGATAAAGCTTCTTCTAAGACCACAGCAATGATTCATTTTTAGGAAATCTATTAATATACATCAGATCAAGAGTTCAAGTGAGAAGACCCGCATAACCCCTCAACAGGTGGCCAAAGAAAGCATTTGATAAAAATGAAACCCTCATTTCAGATGCAAAAATTAACATTTTTAAGGATAAAATGGCAATTCTTTCTAAAGAATTATATTTTACTATATATTATGTGCATATTTGATTGCAAAAGCTGTACATGCGCACCATAGGAAGTTTGGAAGATCAGAAAAGCAAAAATAAATAAAAATGATTCATAAGCCCACCAAGAAATATCCACCTAAATCCAGCATTCCCTGCCCTCAAGACATTTAGGATGTGAGTGTGAAATGAGGATATCATTTAATTAACGTAGCAATATGTCACAAATATTGTTTCTTAGTGTAGAATATTAATCTATAATGAAGCTAATATAGTGGCAAAATAACCTATTGTAAAAATTTTCTGTAATTTTTAAAACTGATTTCTTACTGCTGGAAACTTGGGTTGATGGTCACATATTATCACCACAAACAACAGCTGGTGACCATCCTGTGGACCTCATACAGTTTTGATTATTTCACTAAGATAAAGAATGTAATTAAGGGGCTGGAGAGATGGCTCAGCGGTTAAGAAGACTGGTTGTTCTGGGTTTGAATCCCAGCACCCACATGGTAGCTAACAACTGTCTGTAATGCCAGTCCCAGAGATCCAACAGCCTCTTCTGACCTCCGCAGGCATTGCACGACATGGGTGCACTTACCTATTATATGCAGATAATACACACATACACATAAAATAAAAATAAATAATTTTTAAAAAGAATAATTAAATATGCTATCATTTATCATTGTTTGGGGAATTTCTTGACACCAGAAATATGTAGAAATGAAGTGAAAGTTATAGGCACAGGCTAGATTCTTCAAAACAGTAAAGGTCCATTTCCACATTCATAAATGTGGATAAAGACTTAAATATGAAGCATAAATTCATTAAAATGCCAAAAGAAACTGCAGTGATCTGCATGGACCATGAGATGCTGATGTTTTTAAACCACAACAGTAAGAACAGCACAAGGGAAAGACTGATTTACTTCATAAATCAAATATATCTTAAAAATCAATACAAGAGCTGGGTATGGTACCATACATCTTTAAACCCAGCACTTGGGAGGTAGAGGCAGGTAGAGCTCTGGGATAGAGGCCAGCCTGGTCTACATAGTGAGTTCCAGGACAGTTGAAGTACAGAGAGATCTTTTCTCAAAAAAACGGCAAGAAAAAAAACCTTCAAATAACAAATAAGAAAATGTATGCATATACTTAATAAACAAATGCTTTTAGTATTTAAAATATTCTTCCAAATTTATAAGAAAAAAAATCAACCAAATCAATATAAAAATGGCCAGTTTACCAAAGAAATGCAATGGCCAATAAACATATTAAAACTTTGATCTTACTAATAATTAACATCATACAATGTAAGTTAATGAGCCACCATATGGTCTTATCAAAGTGGGAAAATGTTCCTAAATGTTTGTGGATGAAGACAAGGAAACAGAAACTCTCATGCATGACAGGTAGAAATGTAAACATGTACCTTGTTGGAGGAATGTGGATTACACTGTTTGCATAACAGCAAACCTTTGCCACTGCTCACAAGAATTTAACCTAACAGGTAGTTGTCTGTCAGTGACATGTTGGTAAATGTTTAACAACAGACTCTCTGGTGAGCAAACTTATTTTTGTATAGTATTTGCCAGTTTCTGTGGGGTAAATATTGCCTTCAGGATTAATGCCAAGAACCATGTGATATCATTGCACTCAGAATTGAGAAGATGGGTAATAGCACAATGTTATGTAGAATTTCTAGCACAGATGAATCACCACAACTCAGAACTAATAGAAAATAAAGAACAGGGAATGATAAGTCTGGGATAACATATTTAAAATATAAAATCATTTATCATGGGTTTATACAGTATAAATTTCAGTGATAGCTGTGTTTAGCCACTGGCTCACAGAGCTCTTGAAAGGGCCCCCAGTTTGCCCTTATGAGCCAGTATACACTGGCTCTGCCACCATCTCCACTCATAGTCCATGCAGGCTAACTTACAAAGTTAGTGACAGCACCTATGATCACATGGTCCCTCTCTCTTCCTCATCACTATTCCCAGCATTACCCCATTCAAGTCTTCTAGCCCACCCTCCTCTATTGGCTTATGATGTCCAAGGATCTCATGTGCAGAGTGTGGGAAGGTCTGCAGTAAGTACTGATGCCCAGTGTGAGTGATCTGAACTCTGTTGCTTCCTCTAGCTAAGACTGGCAAGACTGATCAGGAATTCTAGAATCACGCTGTCCAGAGTTCGAATCATCACATTCCTGTTTAGTGATTTGTAGTCTTAGGCCAGCTAATTAATCTCTCTAAGACTTACTTCCTCATTTCTCCAGTGGGCAAAAATAGCAGTCTTTCCTCACTGATTTCTTATGAAGATTTGCTGTGCTA